CCTCAAAATTCATGTTAAAGTCCTAACTCCCAATGTGATGGCATTAGGAGGTGGAATCTTGCAAGGTAATTAGATCATGAGTGTGGAGCCCTCATGAGTGGGATTAGTGCCCTAATCAGAGAGCTCTCTAGCTCTCTTTCTGCTATGCAAGAATACCTGATCTCAAACTTCCAACCTCCAGGACTATGAGAAATAAACTTGTTTTTCATATAAGACACCCAGTCAGTCTATGATACTTTGTTATAGCAACCCAAACTAATTAAGACACATTGTTTTTTCTTAAAGAGTTTTTAAGTTTCTTATTCATCTATAGCATCTTTGTTTTTTAATTTTTAAAATTTTTAACTGGCATGGATAATTGTACATATGTATGGGGTACGGAATGATATTTTGATACATGTATACAATGTGTAATGATCCAATCAGGACTATTAGTATATTCATCACCTTAAACAATTGATCATTTCTTTGTACTGGGAACATTCAAAAATCCTCTCCTCTAGCTATTTTAAAATATACAATAAGTCATTATTAACTATAGTCAGCCTATAGTGGTATATAGTGGAATACTAGAACTTATTTCTCCTATCTAGCTGTAATTTTGTATCCACTAACCAATTTCTCCCTATCCTCCCCTCCTGCCTTCTCTTCCCATCCTCTAATAACCACAGTTCTACTGTCTACTTGGTAAATGGAATATTCCCAGCAGTCCACATTCCCACCATGGAAGCCTGCAATTTTAGCTAAATGAGACAGCATTGTGAATTCTACTGCTCAAGTGTATGGACTTACTATTGTCTATTCTAACTTACAAATACCCATTTTAAAAATCTTTCTCAGCCTCCAGTCTGTTTCTGCCCAAATGTATATAATTTGATATTGCCAGACTAATAATGCTAACACAAATTCTGATCATGCACTTCCCCACTCCCAGTTGAAAAATCTTCGATGATTCCACGTTGCTAACTGAAAACATTTCCAACTCCTTTCATCCTTTAAAGGCTCTTCAAAAGCTCTTGCCAAGCTGTTTTTCCAAATTTACCTACCATACTTCCTTTTCGTGTATTTTATACTACAGCCAAATGGAGAGTTTGCATATTCCTGTGCATTTCTAGCTACACTATTTTCAAACTCAGTGTCTCCGCTACACTTTTCCCTGTGTATGATAACCTTTCCACCATCTTCAAATCTACAAAACCTTCGAGTTTCATACACCAAGGCAAAGATATTATCTCTGAACTACCAGGCAGAAATAGCTGTCTTTTTACTTAACTCTCCTAAATGGGCAAGTGATTGTTTCTAACTTATAATTTCAGTAAACTATTACTTAGTTTTCTATTTTATCTGGGTTCTTTATCCTATGTATATAATATTATTACTCACAAGGTAGTTTTTGTTCTCCTCATAAGTATACAATTGATATTTCAAAATAAAAAGTAAATTACATAGGGATATAAATATACACGAATTCCTCCCTATTGCTAAATCTAAATAAAGTAATAACACCAAACATGAATGCTAAATCATAAACTTTGGTCAAAGATGCTATGGGAGAGAAACACAAAAAAGGAGAACAAAGAGAGGACTTGGAACACTTCTTCTTAAGCCCATGCTATATGCTATTACCACAGTCAATGTTTTATCTATGGTTCTCACAAAAACTTACTCAACTATATGCTCTTAAAGTACTCACTTTTCTAAAGAGAAAAATAAGACTCCAAGTGGCTAAGCAACGTAAAACATAAAACAGGTGATTGCCATAGCCAAGAATGAGACCAATTTCTATCTACTTTCAAAACATGTTTACTTGCCCAAAACACTCAAAATTTTACTTAGATTCTTCATACACTGGAAATTATTATGAAATACCTGAAGGCCAGATATTTTTATATCTGTTATTAAAGCAGAATCTTGACTAAAAGGCGAGTCTCCAACATTCCAGTATTGAGTGCCTTCCACCTTAGTAAACTGATTGCATTTTATATTTCTCCTTGTTTTTTAGCTACAATCAAATGAAGGTGTAGTTATTCATAATTTAATGCAACACTCATTGATTAAGTAACAAAATTCTTTTTTTATTATCCAAGGAATGTAGTTGTATCTGAGAACAATAGCAGTGATCTAAGAAGCATATTATTCCAATACTAAAGTTTATGTTTAGAGTTGATATTAAGCATCGTGCACAAATCTATGGCATATCTAGGTATTATTGAACAAACATCTGTTCTGCTTTTGGCTTGAATAATGACAGTTGGTATTGAAAATATGTCAGCATTCTTGACATCATCATGAGTAGAATTCTTAATTAACCTGTGGCTGCTGTCAATATCATAGAATGCTTCTTCTTTGGGAGTGAAAGTTATATGGTCAATTCTGGCTATTTCATTGTTGATGAAATTCTGAGAAGCTGATATGTCACTGAGGGGAGGATGACACTCTTAGGAAAGAAGCTACCAAAAATGAACTGACTCTCCTTGTGACAAATACAATGATGGGGCAGATGAGCTCAGTATATAGCTATTCTGGTTTCTCTGTTTCTATTTCAAGCACTTAAGTATCTGAGAAGCTGCAGCCCATGCTCTCCCTGAACCTCTCCTGTGCTTTCCTGTGCTCCTCAGAGGTCTCCAAAATGAAACTAACCTCAGTTGTGGTTGTGAGAGAGCCTGGTCTGGAGGTTCAATGGGGACTGTTAGACAGTTGGTCTCCTGTTCAACATGTGCAATAAACAATGCATGCAGGGCAAAAGATAAAAAACAGGGAAATTTTTCCCAGTAAAAATTTCTCTGTATCTACCAACCCTCAACTTCTTTCCTCTTGGATGGCTTTTTTTAATGTATCAAGGATTTGATATTTAGTGTGTTGTTTTACCTGCAGTTTTCAACAATGTGCTTTATTGCCATGTTTTTAACTGTTGTTTTTTCCTCTGATATGCTAAAAAATAAAATAGCCATGAACAATAATATCCTGATGTTGCAGATGTTTTGTCCAGTGATATGATAAATTTTATTTTTGTGCATTATGTCATTTAATTCTTGCAAAACACCAAGGGCTTATCATAGCCATTTTTAGAGATGAAGAGAGCAAAATTCAGAGAGGGTAAGTGACTTGCCTAAGGTCACACAAGTGCATGTGCATTAGAGAAGCCTGAATTCAAATGTAAGTCCCTAAAGCCAAAAGATGCTCTGAAACATCGCTTTTTATACTATTGCCTTTTATCAGCTTTGAAAATTTAAATTATAGTGATTCTTGGATTTCCACCAGAAACCCGGCTTCATATCTATCCACTGAACTGTTCACCTACACACTTCCATACAAATGTGTTTTTAGCCCATTCTCCATTCCTAAAGCTACCAGATTTAACAAATAAAAAGTCAGGTTGCCTGGCTGAATTTTAATTACAAATAGACAATTAATACTTTTTGAATATATGTATATCCCAAGCACAATGGTAATAGTGGACATTCATAGGACTGTTGTCATGTAATATTTGATACATATTTATATTAAAAAGTATTCATTGCTCATCTGAAATTAAAATGTAACTGGTGTCTTGCATTTTGTCTGGTAATCCTCCCCATAACATTTCCTTTGGGTCTCAGTGCTTTGATGTTTAATAGACAAGCCAAGAATTCCTTTCACATGAAGGTTACTTTAACCCTTATGTCTTATATGGTCTCAACTGCACCTTATCTTTTCCTTGGGTGCCTTATTGTCTAGTATGAAACCAAAACAAAACAAAACAAAACTCCAGCATTGGAAGGGTTACAGCTTGAAACAATGTACAGGATCCTAGGGATGCCATTCAGCAAAGGATGGCTGCTATCACTGATGCCTTCACAGCATTTGTGGTCTTAGGTTGCAATTTGTTCAAGTCTATGTCTTGACTTCATTTTGAATCCAGGCAACTCTTCACAAAACACCTAAAAGATATATAAAAAGAAAGAATGTAAATGTACTAATTTGTGACTAGAACTACCTGGCTACTCTCTTTCTCTAAGAGGCACACCTCTCTCTAGCTACTCAGTCTCACTAGAGGACACATTTTCTCTAGGTAAAAGTGTATGGGAAATAAAGGAGTGTGATGAAATGAAAAAAGTACCATTTTTAAATTTTCTATCTCTAATCTGCAAAATGAGTTTAATGAGTACCAACCTGACAGAGTGACTGTAAGGACTAGCGATAATGCACAGATACGTATTAAGTTTTATGATTTTAAGTATTAATATTTGTTGAAGAAAAGAGTAATAATTCATAACATTGATTGCTGTACACAGAATCAGAGTGTCAGAAACTGGATAATCTCATTTTCCTAAAATCAGTAATAGTAATTCTCTCAAATAAAGGATTGTGTTTGTTTGATAAACGTGACATCCTTGTTTCTGAGTTAGAGTTCCTTCTTACATATTAAGTGCTTGAAAAACCTTTATCAATGTTTGTGTGACTTTTCTTACCTATTTCTCTTTTCTGTATTTTTGTTGCTTGACAACATCTCTTTGGATTTATAAAAAGTAAACAGTTTTTAAAAGAATAAATATGTTAAATCATCTCTGTGTTAATTATATAAACAAAATGAAATTACACTGCAAGCTATCCTTTCTCTTTATTTTGACTTTCCATATGTTTTCATTGGTTTATTGACTTCCTGGTTTCATGACACTGCTCAGAGTTCTATGTTTCTATAGTACTCCAGGAGAGATTATGGTCACCCCCAAATACCACATAGAGTTTTCTGTCCTGAATTGGCAGCTTACCTTTTATGCAGCTTTTGACAAAGCACTTAGTCTTTCACCGCCTCAGTTACTTCATCTATAAAATGGGAATAGTAAAAATTGACAGAGCTCTTATAATGATCTATTTATAGGCAAGAATTAATTTAAACATAAAAGATTTCTAAGAAACTATTACAGATGGGAACTACTTAAGATATGCATTTATATTTCAGATGGAGGTAATATTTCTTAGTTCTTTGGGCTACTGTCTCTTTTTCTGTTTTCTCCTAGGTCTGATGATGCATGAATCCCTTCTAGGGGCAGGACCAAGATGACCTTTAATGGATTGGCTGTGAGGTGGGAAGAAATCAGAATCTTAAAGAGGTGGGTAGATGTTGGTGCCATTTACCCATGTGGGGAGGCAGGTATGAGAAGGGTGTGTGAGGTGCGGGAAGAGTTAGAGGCAGGAAGTTGTGATACTTTTCTTCACCCATCAAAAGAGTCATGGCAGGTTAATAAGAGAAAGCATAACACAGTCATTTAATCAAAGTTTTATGCAACATGGGAGCCTTCAAAAATGAAGAGCAAGACCCAGGGAAACCTATTCTTTTTTATTTATTTATTTTTGCTTAGATTGGATGAGGAATAGACAGTCATATACAAATGTGATTTGAAAAAAAGGGTATGATCCAATGGTAATTGAGGGTGGGAACTTAGGAAGGCCTTTCTATTAAAATTCTTTTCGGCCTTTCTGTGCAGCAGTCCTTGCCTCCTGTATAGGGCAGGACTCCTCTGGAATTAAGATCTTCAAAGAAGAAAGGAATGGGAAAAGGGTGACCTTTATAGCTTTTATTGCTTGCTTTGCCAGAGAGGAATTTTAGTTTCTATGACCCAATTTAGGGAAGAAGAATTCCTGTTCCTATGAGTCTCTTCAGGGGAACAAAAGGAACAGGAGGCAGGAGGGCAGGAGAAGGTCAGAGACACCTTGCTTCCAAGGTCATTATGATGTCCTTCAGTTGAAAGTACTCAGCATGCCAAAGTGCCATACCTTGTTCTGAGCCCCAGCAATGTCATGTGGTAGATTCCAAGCCAGGGCTTGGATCCTCAAGCATATATGCTTGGTCCTAAGAAATTTAATAATTTGATAACATGGAAAAATTCAAAGTCTATAAAATATAACAAAGGGTAGGTCCTTAACAGTGATTTGCCTGAACCATTTCTATTGCAGAAAAGCAGAGAAACTGGGGCTTGCTCACAATTACATTACTGGGAAGTGGAAAAGCTGGGACTAGAAATCAAGCCCTCCTGGCTCCCAGCCTCAGTAGCAATGTCCCTAACCATTCTCTTCATAGCACACACCTACAGTGACGTCTGTAGCCCTGTAACCTTGACTTCTAATTGCCAGTATCTTTCTTCTAGGGGTGCAGGCTTTTTCTACATCAACACAGCCTGCCTCCACCCTAAGCAATATTCAACCAATGACTGTAAGGTGTATACTAAGCCAGGCCCGTCACCCCTTTCATGAAAGGATGCTTTACACCATTGCCCAGAGTTTCCCTGTGGGATTAAGCTCCCATAACCACTAAAGTTTAATAACCTGCCACTTAGTAGCTGCCTTCCTTTTTTTTTTTTTAACACTTCTTTTCTCACCTGCCCATTTTCCCAGTAACTCCACAATAACATACCCACCCTACAACGTTTACCTCAGGATAACATTTTTACCTCAACAACAGTTGCCTCTAGAGGAACCCAACTGGGACACTCTCTTTGCTTACAGATCAGTGTCTTTTTTGGCATAGTTTAGTGGCTCAGCTGACTGTTAAACTTGGTGCCTGTACTATTGTGGGAACTGGAAAAATAAAGAATGCTCTAAGAATGGACTTTACTGGCTACCTTTGTAAAATAGCGTGTTGTATCTTTTACTTATTCTGGCTCTCCTCTTCCTCTCAAAAGGCATGGAGGAATAAAAAAGAAAAATCTTCTTACACTGTTAATAAGTATAGCACTTTCAGAAGCCAGGGCAATGAATGAGCTAATATAATGCTTTGTAAGGTGCTACTTCCAGAAGGAAGAAATGGTAATTTTCTCAGCAAATCCAGAAACATCTCAATTACATAAAATGCCAGATCTTCCTATGGACTTTCTTGCATCATCTCTATATTTTATATTCTCTTGAGCATAGATGTAATATTTTCTCAAAATGTTCTTGCTAGTTATCTTTTTATAAACTATAAAAATTTTCAGAGATGAACTCTTCCTTAAATGTTTAAAAATCTTTGTTTTTCTATGTCTCAAATTTAAATGGAATGAAACTATTATGTTTGGGTTGTGGATGCCAATTCTTTATCTCTCATCACTGACACATGCCATAATTCAATCTCTGTGTCCTGTTGCTGTTCATAAACCAACAAGCTCTGGTGGTTTATGTCATCAGCAGAAAACCTGAAAGTGAATTATAGCCTTGCATTCAATCTCTGTGTTCTGTGCAGAAATAGCCAGTTTTTCAGAATGTGCAATTTAGAGACTTGGGAGCAAGAGACTTATAAAGTGTATTTCTTGTAGCCTGTGCCAAAGTCAAAGTTATGAGCATTCAAAATAAAAGATTGATATAAAATCAGTTCAAAATATACCTACAGCTTTATGGCAACAGAATGTTTTTATTAATATTCTGGAAACTTGAGAGAAGCCTACATTCTATTTGTTTCTAAACTTCTAGAGAGTTTCTAAAAAATAAAAATTAACCCAAATTTGAATCTTATTACAATTGAGTTGAGAGGGTAATAACTTGGATATCCTGACTCATGGGTGATAGAGTAGATGTTTTACTTTATGTGTTAATCTTTATTCATGTGAAATGGTTGAATAAACATCTATAAGAATGTGTATGCAGAGAGCTAACCAGGACATATACAACCAATGTCTTCCTTTAAAGTTTCTAAAAAGTTGGATATTTTGTAAAGAGAGCTTATTTAGATAATAAAACAATTTTTATTTGTATTAACCAAACCTATAATATTAATACTTTTCAATGCTCAAACAGCATGTCCCAACAAATAAAGGATTCTCATCCTAAATAGATTGAACTGCAAAATTCAGTTATATAGGGAAGTGATGAAAGACCTATTGAAAGAAACTTCTTAGCTTGAAAGATGATTTTTGCATCAGACTTTTGACTTTTATTTGGAAACTGCCCTTTATTGGGAAAGGTGAAGCACTTTTAGATAAATATCCTTATTTACATTAAAAATGTGCATCATTATTCATATTTTGAAGTCTACATATAATGCATCTCTTAACCCTATTTTAATGTTAAATATTACATTAATATATATGTCATGTAGTATTTTAGGTTCTGTAAATGTGAGAAAAACAGCAGTGAAGAAAATAGATGTCTCTATCCTCAACAATCTTCTATTCTAATGGAGAATGATGGACAAGAAATAAGTAAATAATAATAACTACATAATATTCCAGGTGGGGTTAAGTGTTACGAAGAAGAGAAAAGAAGGTGTCAGGGAATTAAAGGAAGAATAAGAGGTGGCATTTTATGTAGCACTGTCATGGAAGACTCTCTGATAAGGTGACATTTGACTATCAGTATAAATAAATTGGTGGAATAAGCTATCTCAATACTTGGGAGAAGAGTGTTGCAGGAGAGGAAAGGGAAAGTGACAAGACTTAAGGTAGGATTATGCTAGCTATGTTAGAGACACTGTAAGGAGGTCACTGTGGTTAGAGTAGAATGAGAGAGGGGAAGAGTGGCTGAAGATGGGGTCCAAAATATAGGATATAGGAGGACAACAGATGCTACACAAATTGTAGGCCTTGGTAAAGAGCTAGCATTTAACTTTAAATAAAACAGGAAGTAGATGAAAGTGGACTAGAAGTGATCTGAAGATTGTAGGCTATTTGGTTGAGAATAGACTGTTACGGGAGACAAAAGTAAAAGTCGGCAAGTTGATTGGAAAGTTACTAGAAATTGTTCAGACAATATATGGTGACAACTTATGCCAGGGTGGTATAGATGGAAGTAAAGATTAGTTTCTGCATAGATTTTGAAAGTAGCATCAAAATAATTTACTCATCATATGAATGTAAAGTATGAAGCAGAGGAGTCAGAGGTATTTAATTCTATAGTGTAGAATATATTTGTTCAACTCTTGTTTATCAGGGGATAAATGAATAAAAATATATACTAGTCTGGATGACAAAGATAATGGCCTTGAGTATGGCACACAGACTGTATAGATGGAGAATGTGCTACATCAAACAATTTATATATTTTGTCAAAAAGGAAGATTTAGAAAAATTACTGGCAATTCTAACTTATTAATATAAAAAAATATGCTATTCCATGAACCTTTCCATTCAGCAAATAGCACTAAAAGTTAAGAAATTTTGGTCAGTAGAACCATATTTGGGTAGGCCTTGTTACAGTCATAAAGATGCAAAGATAATGTCTGTGGATGTTTTTTAAAAAAGTCAGAGAGAAGCAAGAATTTTATGGTCTTTATTTATAGAATTCAATGGTGCTGTGGCTTTATTCCTCTGTCTCAGAGACCTAAGGTGCAATTTCCTTTCCCCAGGGGCTTGGGTCTGAAGGCAAAGCCTCCATAGCTTACCATGATTTCACTTTGGATTCAATGGGTCTCATCATCTATCACAATGTTAGAGGCATATCATAGGTGCTCATTACATTTTGGCTAAATTAAAATAAATGTCTTGCTCTTCTAAGAATTTTGACATCAGATATATATATTACATTTCAGTGGGAAAATGTCCTTGAACAAGCAGTTTTATTGAAATTTTTCTTCATCTAGTATCTTTTTTTTTTTTGCCTGACATTCTTCACCACACACAGTTTCCTCATTGATTTTGAACATAGAATCATTTTCTAATCCATTATTATAATAGTCTAGTTATAGGATTTCCCAACCGAGAGAGTGATGCTTTTCTGGAGAGAGCACAGACTGTTTGAATTCTGGTTCTGTCACAGTAAGAACATGGGCAAGTAGCTGAACCTGAATTAGCATCCGTCCTTCCACAAGTGTAAAAAGGATAGTGAGACTTATTCTTTATAGGATTCTGCTGTTGCAATATAATCATAAAAGTACCTAACACTTAGGAGTGAACTTATAAATCAGGATTGTCTTCTTTAGGTATAATTTACATATTAATTTTGTACCTTTATATTCATCAGTGAATGCCAGTAATTTTAGAGCATTCCATGGTGAGACAGAGAAGGTCCGTAAACAAAGGAGGTCAACTTCCTCTTTCTCTCATCATTTTCTGGTGGTCTCAAGGATGGGGTGCTGCATATCAGGGCATATTCTGAAAGAAGCCATGATATCAAACTAGAGAACACTCCTCTGTATATGGCAATG